AAAAAAATTATTATTAATAAATTATTAATAAATTAAAGTATCGATAAGAAACAACTTTTAATAATAGCGATTAAATGATCTCGTGGAAATTTTATGCTGATTTATTGGCCATGGTTTCTTTGTTTTACCCGACAATAAAGCAATTTCTTAAGGTTTAACTGCAGCCCGATGATCAAACATACATTTTTTCTTGTTGGAAAAAAATCACTATAAAAAATCATCCCAATTTCTCTCAGAAAAAATAGTAAGGTTTTGTGAATCTTTAATGAAAACTTCTCATTTCTACAATGTTTGTTTTTTTCTTTCAATTTCTTGGATATGAAATTCATGGCTGCAATAACACATCATTGATTTACGGCATTAAACTGACGTGCTTTAACATTAAAACAATTTTGGCCTCACCACTCGAATGATGATTATTTGAAGAATTTTCTTTACAGAAAAAAAAATGTATAAATCGATACACAAACTAATGAATAAACAAAAGAGTAGATTCACTCAGCGAGTTCATACCTTGAGAATATTTTCCAGCACCGGGTCCTGCATGCTGCTGGAGTTGATGGCTCCGACAGCAGTTCCCAGCAGCTGGGGGACCTGCGGTGCCGTGGAAGCACCACCTCCGACGCCACAGCACTGCAAGTAGAAAGACAAAAAATTAACATATCCATCACGATGCCACATTATCTAGCAGTACTTCTCCGCAAGACATTCATTGGTTATTCATAAATAATTTTATACAATAATACTCAACTCTTTCAAATCATACATTCTCATTATAAAAATTTGCATTTACTGTCTGCATTAATTTTTTAATATCTAATTAATGTGAAACAAATATAAAATATTCTGAGTAATATTGACTTAAGCCATTGACAGATACAAAAAGCATAAATTTTCATTTAGTATGGGTATTTTTTTTTTTTTTTTTTNTAAAATCGTCAACTCTAGCAAAAATTATGACCCAATAGATTTTTTTTTGCATTAATTTTTTAAAGAAAATTTAAGATTTTAATGTTATGGTTCAATAAGGAAACGAAGTTTTGTTTTAATACTTTGCGAAAAAAAAATTTTAAATGTCAAAAGTAATTCAGGAAAGGGTATTAAGTTTCTGAGAAAAACTTACGGATGACAAGTGTTTCAAAACAATTTTTTTAATTTTAACTCTAAAAAAAAAATCACTATGAATATTACGAATATAGGCTAAATAAATGTTATTAACAGTAATTTACGTAAGACTCAAAAAAAAATTGTTTCAGTCTTTCCACTCGCATTTCTCCCCCCATATTTAATGTTTACTACTTTATCTAGTCCAGTATTCGTATTAAATCTATTTTCATTTAATAATAAAGATGGAAAAAATATGTGAACTCATGTAAAACTAAAAAAAAAAAATTCTTACACATGGTACAAATGAGTGCCAAAAACCAAACAAAAATCTCAGTTTTTTTTATCCTCCCCAGAACTTCTCATTCGAGCCAATAAAATACCATCCAGCAGTGGAAGTCTGATGGGACGCAAAAGTCCGTCGTTAGTGTTCAACTACCTTCACTTGAATCAATTTTCCCCGACCGCATACGTCAATCCGGACCTGCACGTATACGTATATACGTGCACTTTCCCCCACGCCTCGTTATCTGCTCGGGCTATCTTAATTAATTGGCGGTGCGATGGCCACTGGTATACTCGAAAGTGCCCCAGTATACGTGTATATCCCAGCATAATATCTGGACCACAGCAGCACGTGGATGCTTCTTTGCACTCCCTGACGGTTGTATCCATACATATTCGAGCGCACACGCAAGACGGCCGTTGCATGCTATTATGGCTATACCTATTTTCTTCGCGATACCATGAATTTCGATTTTTTAAACTTCACATCGGTATATACCCGTTTTTTAGATGTCGTAAAAGTAAGCACAATAAACGAGCCGCCACTTGATGTAACAAAGTATCAACTTTCGCAAAATTATACGGGGTGCGAACAGTACGGAGTACTTTCATCGGAACTGTCTAATCTTAGCGGTCAAAAATCATTTAGAAAAATTATCTTTAAACATTGTACATCTATAACCATCCACTTTTTTCTTTTTCTCCAAAAACTAAAGTTTTCGAAGCAAAGCGACTGCAATTTATTTCCGAGTGTTAAGGTGTACCAAAATCAAGCACTTCACGCCTATGACCTTCATCAAAATTTCCTCGTCCCTTGGAGTCGAGACACGAAAAAATTCTATTGAAATGGTCGAGACCACGAACGAGGAGAGCACATAGGGACAGCGGACAGTCACGAGAAAACGAAAAGCCAAAGAGAGACGGAGCCCGCAAGCAAACGAGGTGGGTTGCGCTCGATTCCCCCCTCCGTAACGGCAGCAGGTACACATGCACCACCACCTGCATCTACACTCGACATGCATGCACCCACGCGAAAAGGAACGGAAGGAGAAGAAGTGGAGCCGCGGGTGGAGAGGTGTTATTTTAGGAGCCCACCCTCGCACATGTATACGTGGGCAGAGAGAGTTACAGGCACCTTGCTTGACCCACCCACCGTGTGTATCACTCTCGGCTTCCTCTCCCGGCGCATCTACACCTTTGTTATCCTCCCCCTTTAAATTTACGCCTCTATACCGTCGTCCTGAGGAGCTCTTCCTTGGAATTCTTTAGCCTTCCTCGGTGGAGGATGCATGCGTTGCCTCAGCTTTTTTTCGTCACTGTGGTGGAATTTTCTCCCACCTCGTTTCGATCTCCCCTTTGGGGTATCGGTTTGTCCTCGCGTTTATTATATCGCCGTTATCGGGGCGCACCGCAGGAGCCGTGGATATATTTCTGGAGCGAGAAAAAGGAAGGTTGAAAAAGTACAAACGAGCGAGTGGAGGAAGAAAAAAAAAATAAAGAAAAAAAAAAAAAAGACGTAGAGACCGCTGCCGGCTTCGGTGCATCCAGTCTCCAATTTGTACGGCTTTTCTTCGGCGCGATTCAATAACTCAATCGACTGGTGATTATAATAGTGCCACCATATCCAATGTGCGCAGCCTCCCTTTGTGCGCCGATGCGCGTGTACTTGCTTTTGCCTTGGTTGGGACGCCAGAGGAGGCTGATCGATCTGTGACGTATTTTTAACCGTTAATGTCTATAATACAAAGGGGGTGAATCGTATAATTTTGGTGCGATTGAGGCTGTGGCTACAGTGTTTGTTTATGGAAGCTTTTACACGATAAGTAATTATTATTGCGGTTACTTAAATGTTTGTTTTCAATCTTTTGGCTTATCTGTGGTTAAGAGACTGTGGTTAAGACACCTGTACAATTTATCATCAAAAGTACCCTTTTTTTCACTGTTTTCTCATGTAACAAGCCCTTGGATGACGGTGCTTACTCAGTAATTTTTATAATGTTTCCTCTAAACATATTTCCACGAAATTGGCCCAAAACTGGGAGAAAAATTTTTGCTTCCATAACAAGTTAATTCATTCTATTTACATCTGCCCCAAAACGAGGTACAAATACAAACTGGCGTAGCTTAGTTTGAATAAAAGTTTTTTTTTATCTCTTCAAGAAGATTATTTCTTATTTAGTAAAGTCCGTAAGTAATGGAAGTTTTCAATGATACATACTATTTTGTTGTCGTTTAATAATTTTATAACATTATTTCTCTATTAAATGATTTTGTTTTCTCGGAAAAAGTTAACGTCCGTTACAAAGAATATACATAAAACCCAAAATGAGGTGAATCGATTGGAAATCGTAAAGACAAATGAAAACCACCATTTTGCTTCCCAAATGGTAATGCACATTTTTTCTCCACAAGCGCTTGTTTCATCAACTAATGTCATACAGTTACAACAATGTACCAATGAGGTGTAGGAAATTCCCATTAAATAACATTATTTTAAAAATGATTAAAAATAGATTTACCGTGAATTCAATCCCAATGACTATTTTATTAACCACCACTACACCCAGTGGACGCATTAATGCTAAAAGCTACACAGGGTGTACGTACATTGATGCACTTTAGTGGCATATGCATTTAAAGTCACACTCATATCCAAGAATTAATTCACCTCATTTGACCAAACAGCGTGTCCAGACGGTATATTTGGATTGTGCTTGCATTTGCCCTATTACCCCAGATGTACAGCTTCATCCAGTTTTCCTCCACAGATTGACTCTCGGTCTTTTTTCGAGCGAAAAGAAAAAACGAACGGCGCAGAAGTGAGAAACGAGATAGGCGAGTTTTGTTCCGAAGGACAAAAGAGCCCTCGTGGCCCCCTTGATCGGCGAGTAAGATGAAAGACCAGAGAGACAACGAACTGACAAGGACACTAATTATAATCGACGCGCCTCGGAGCTGCTACCTGCGACGCTTGAAGTATACAGCCGAGCATCGATTTTCAGGGATAATTTTTCTTGCTCATCACACTGTAAGTGTGTTATGGGACTTTACACCATTGAACTGCGTGTGGACATTGGCTGATTAAAATAAACGAAATATAAATCCAACCGTGGTGAATATACTGTTGGGGGTCGTGTATTTCACCTCCGAGGAGTTTTAATTTGGACGATGATGCAAAAAGACCCTCGACTCGTCGAATCCCTGCATCTACCGATCGATCCTACTGTACCAATGGAATAGTATCAGAGAATTGTTGCGTGGATTACTCGTGGGTGTGGGAGAAAAATATTGAGAATATTGAATTCGAATTGAAATTTATTGGGAATTCTGGGTCAGTAGCTTTTCAATTAAACCAGAAGATGGTATTACATTACATGTTATTGATTTGAACATTTTTTCGGATTCATAAAAACACATTACCAACGTTTTTTTAGAAACTTCAATGAAAATGAATGGTTTTCCTCGCACAATCGCTTTTTTTTATTGCAGAAATTATTCAGTACAACCATTAATAGTTATCTACACACGACGCTTTCGTTGATCTAAAAATGTCTCATAAGAAAATCACATGATATGCCATTGTATTATTATGAGAAACAGAAAAAAAGTATTATACAAAATTTATTATATCGCATTTGAATATGATGCTTAATTTTTGAATCACACTTACAAAAGACACGAATCTATTTGGTTTTTGTTATCCGATTTCAGTTTTTTAAGCTTATTTCTATTCTTTGGATGATTTAACATAAGATCAATTCAGAAAATTTTTAAAAATATTTGATGCATAATAAGTTAGGTGCAACAGTTAATAATGGCTTTTCACGATTTGAGGATACGGATGACAAGTGTTTCAAAACAATTTTTTTAATTTTAACTCTAAAAAAAAAATCACTATGAATATTACGAATATAGGCTAAATAAATGTTATTAACAGTAATTTACGTAAGACTCAAAAAAAAATTGTTTCAGTCTTTCCACTCGCATTTCTCCCCCCATATTTAATGTTTACTACTTTATCTAGTCCAGTATTCGTATTAAATCTATTTTCATTTAATAATAAAGATGGAAAAAATATGTGAACTCATGTAAAACTAAAAAAAAAAAATTCTTACACATGGTACAAATGAGTGCCAAAAACCAAACAAAAATCTCAGTTTTTTTTATCCTCCCCAGAACTTCTCATTCGAGCCAATAAAATACCATCCAGCAGTGGAAGTCTGATGGGACGCAAAAGTCCGTCG